AAAAATAAGAACTAAGATACATCATGTACAGGTACAAGCACCCAATGATAAATATAAACATATTGTATACCTAAAATGTACCAATAAAAGAATTTTAGGAAAAAAAATTGATAAAAAGCAGTTAACTCAGGCTCAGAATATAATTCAGTGGTTGAGTGCTTGCCTCACATGTACAAGGCCCTGGATTAAATCCACAGCACTACAAAATAAAGTAATGAAATAAAAATCATACCTATGAGCGGTTAAAAATAATAAAGTATATATATGGCTAAATATAAAGTAGTTAGCAAATCTAGCCACACAGAAAAAGAGAACCAATGTTCCTTAATGATCTTTTGCTTTTCCTTATACTGTTTGTATAGGAGATCCCCAAAGTAAAAGTAAAACTGAAATTCCAAGAAAATTTAACATTTGATCCTTTAACTTAGTAAGTACATATTATTCATTAAATAAGTTTTAAAAAGTCTATGTCAAACTACAAATATGCCAATAAAAATGTCACATATACATTAAGTGCAAAAAAGTTGTAAAGCAGGGAAAATCTAGCAATATTAAGTAAAAGAAAAAACATAAAAATAGAAATGAGAAAAATATGTATAACAACACTTTTAAAAATAATATTATGTTTTATATCAATACATTTGTAAACAAGGCCAAAATTAACATACCTTAAAGAATATATACCAACTCATTAAAACAAATAAGAGCACATTTATGTATATATGTGTGGCTTGCCTAAAAGTATTTAATGATAAAAGGAAAAAGATATTTAACCAGATCTATATTTTAAAATGCATTCAATATCCAAAAATGTTCCCAGCCCTTCCCAAAACCAGAACTAAGTGGATTTAAAGGTTTTTCTCAATATTCAAAGTCTTCCTGAGACCAAAAGAGATGGTACAATGCCCAGTTTCTTTAGTAAAATGAATTCAACTTTGATTCTGAAAGAAGACAAAAGCAGACAAAATACTGTCCAACCCAAACCCACAGTGAATAAAAGATATATACTGCCTATATGAGACATATTGTTGATGTGTGCCTTTTAAAGTATCTGAGAGATTATAAATGCAAACTTAAATAGATTATGCTATAAGGATCCATTAAGCCAGAAGAATTGGAACTAAAATACTAATCAATTTTCTATAGCTTTCTCTTAGAGTTGCCATTAAATATTAAAGACTGATGTGAACCCAAAAAAGAGGCTCCTTAATTTTCAGTGGGTTTTTTTCTTTAATTTAGAAAACACTTTTTGTTTTTAACCAAATGAGTTGAGGAAAGGCCATTATAGGTTTTTACAGATACTGTACAAGTTTATTCATAACTTCATAGGAAGAAAATCACAATTCAAGAATTTTATGAAAGAGAAGAGACACAGTACAAAGATGCACATTTTGAAGATCAACACCAAAATGCAAAAAAAAATTTTGCTATTTATATGTTGTAATAGAACTATTTCCTAAATCACTCAAAAACCAAATGAAATAAAAGCAATGATGGCTGTAAATTCACCCAGAGAACATAACTACCCATTGGTAATATAGTCATTTATACAGGACATCATCAGTTTGCCTTTATAATGCATTTTTCCCCACTGCTATTAGACTAAAGATTAAGTTTAAATGACATATGAAAAAGCTAACATCATCTTCTCATAAGCTAACATCATCTCCTCATGCACTATTTCCAAGAACTGCTAAGGCAATTTTTAAAAAAGAAATATGGGGAGGAGTAGAAATTAATCCAATTTAAAAGTACAAATTAGTAACTGCCTTAACTGTATTCAACGTCATTGTCAACCTGTGTTTTTCTTTGGTGGTCAGTTTGGATTTCCAAGCTGAAGGAAAGCAGAAAAAGTTTAAATATATTTTGGGGTATACAGGATACAGAATAGATCATCATAATAAAATATTTGCTACATTCATTTATATAATTTTATAGTTTTTTCACAAAAACTTCATTCTCAACATTTTATCATAGTGGTATATATAACTTGCTTTATCAGATCAAAGAATCTGTGGCTGATTGAGGGGTAGAGAATAAATGATATATAGCACACATTAAGATAAAATCAATGAACTATTAGTCACTTGTCCATCTCATTATTTTCAAGATTTTAAACCTTCTATTAACAAAGTTATTCTTAAGATTTCTCTAAATTATACCTTGAAGGTTAGCTGTAAAAACTAACTGAATAAATAATAAAATTAAAATAATAAAATAAATAAATAATAAAAACTGAATAAATAATCAAGGGAATAGGTATTTTCTTGAAACTATAATAATATAAACAAGATATCAAATATTACATAGAACAAAAGATCTACACAAGTCTAAGATGCATCTTTCCTTCAAGTAAAATAAGGTAAATACAGTCATTCTTGGAATAAAATTTAAAATTTAGTTAAATATTCTAATATAGCACTCAGATTATAGATTAGAAATATACATTTACTTAAAAATAAATTCACTTTTTCATGTCTTCAATGTTTGGTAATTTGCCATTATGGAAGTAACTATAGTACATGATATCCTTTACACCTTCATGACATAAATTTTCCATGATAATTTTTAAAGACATAGTACATGTAAGGTGTGTAAGTTATTATGTACAAATCCTCCACATTTTCAGGGAAAAAAATATTACTGTTACCCTTGAGATTCCCTGTGTTTCCTTATTCTATTTTCAATTCCCTCAGAGGTAATTATCTTGAGTTTTGTTTATCATTTCCTTGCTTTTCTCTATAGTTTTACTATTAAATGGCTCTGAAAATATTGCTTATTTTGTAGGATTTTTAATTTTATATAGTTATATGCTTCCAATGTTTGCTTTTGTCATCCAATATTTTGTTCCTGATTTTAATCTTTTTTCATGTTTTTACTGTAATTTATTTATCTCACTGCTAGAGTATATTTCATTATACTTATATATATCACAAAATATTTGTCAATACTACTGTTGCTAGAAATATATTTTATTTTTAATATCTTTGCTATACCACTTTGTTATGTGATATTGTTATAAGAATGATTTCTTCTTCATATTGAATAAAAAAGTATGAAAGGAAAAATCTGGTACTTATTCAGCTGTTCACAATTCAGTTGATATATGCTCTCACAAACAAATGTGCGAAGTTTTTGTTTTGGGGTTTTTGGGGTGCAGTACTGGGTTATTAATCAAGACATTATAAGTAGAATAAAAGTACTAGTGGTTTACTGGTTTATTTTCTGTGACATCTATATGTATAAATTATTAGTAGAATTTAAATATTAAAAATTAAAATCCAGAAAAGTCTATAAATCTATTGTAAGAGCTGATACTTTGCTTTGATAAAAAAATAAATAAATTAGGAAAATAATCATCAATGACTTTTCAAAAGATCTACTCATCAAAACATAAAGCACTCACTATAAATTCTTCCTTTCATTAACACAAATTATGGAGGGGTGAATCTAAATCATGCAGAAAATCAGTATTAAGTCTTGGATCTTTCACTTGAGAAGGCAGGCATATTATTAGCCACAATTTCTAAATATAAACTTATCTGTTTATAATGTGTTCTTTCAGAAAAGGTACAATAGGAATTTAGAGATTCCTGTATTCTTTTTCTGAATGTGCTTTAGTAATTTGGGACACATTAATTCATTAGAAGGGTTTTAGAAATTGAGTACTAGAAAATAACACACGTCTGTACAAATCTATGATGTCCCTACTCTCAGAAATGTCACATACAGCTCTCACTGGAAGTTACCCGTGCATTTAGTAACATTAATTAAGCTTCTACTGCATGACAGGCATTATGCTACCTATTAGGGATCCAAGGATTAGTGCCTATATTCAAGGAGCTTATGATTCGGTAAGTTTCTTCTAATAAGAATAAGATAGTTTAAAATGATCAAGAGATGAGTAACTGATGGTAAATACAAGAGCCCCCAAGGAGCACCTTCTATAAATATTAACACCTTTCTATGACTAAGACACTGCAGAATGAAAATGAGATACAAATCTTGTTTTGTTCAGGGTTGAAACAGGGTGAATCCACCTCTATTCAAAATTTCCCCCATACTAAAATTAAAAAGATACTTTTCGGGCCAGGGATTTAGCTCATTGGTTCCGCCGCCTGCCTTGCAAGCACAAGGTCCTAACTTTGATCCCCAGTACCGCAAAAAAAAAAAAAAGATACTTTTCAAATTTGGGAACAGTTCAATATAAGATATTAAAAGAAGTAATTAATAACTGTATAAAAAGAATGAACTAATGATACAACCAGAAGTTGTATGTAAGATATGAAAATTAAAATTGGTTTTAAAATGTTATAAATTAATGAATTTAGTTTCATAACAATGCTTTCACAACCACAGCATCTAGACCAAAATAAATGGACCTCATATGCATAGTTCATTCACTACACAAGAGATTCTAAAAAATGGAAGGGAATAATCACATAGTATATTCTCAGAAAATAGCTCTCTCTACAAATCACCAGTGCTTAAATTAGAAAGCAAGTAATTAAAATTTTAGCCCTCAACAGAAACTTTCAAATTAAAAATTTTTGTAAAAAAATTTATATGAAGTTGGACAAGTTCTAAATTTTAGAACTATTTAACTCTACATAAACTGGCACAGAAATCTGTTAAAACCCAAATCTTAAATATGGACATGATTTCAGTCATTATACAGTTCTCCTAAAAAAATTATTCATTATTATGAGCTTTCTTATAGAACTGTACTTGGAATATCATTATAAACAAAATAATAATGTATATATGAACAGCCAGTTATGTGTCATTAAAATTCCAACTATATAAATGTAGCTCTGCCCTATGAGAAAATACATAGTTTAATAATGTAAATCTTTTTATCTCCTAATTATCTTCTAGAAATGAGAATGATAGACACATTAATTCCCTATTTCTACAACCTTAGAAAATAGGCAACTCTAATCAGGTACTGAAAGGGTGAGAACCAAACAGTTAAAATAAATCATTAACAACATATTTACCGGTTTGATTCGAAGTTGACCACCCACCACCTCAAGAATAGCATGTCTTCTGGATATTCTCTTGTCTGTTATCTAAAAGGAAAAAAAATTAAAATTTAAAATATAGACACCTCCTTAAAAAATAACAAATAAGCCAACAAAACTTGTAGCAATGTCTCTGAAATCAGTAGGTTAGATATAAAATATCATTCATTTAACAACTCTATATTGAAATGATTGTACTCATTTAAAAGATAACAAAACAACCCAGAGATTAAGAGACCTGCCCCAAATTAATGGAGAATAAATGTCAAAGCTAAGACAAGCTTTGGCTCTAACACATACCAGGATCTTATATGATAGTTTCTATTCATCACAAACAGTGGAACTTCTTTTTTGGGGGTATATCCTTTTATTGGTACATTTTAGGTGTAAAATATAATGACATTTATCATTGGAAATGTGCACTTTACATAATCTCTCTTGGTTCTTATTTTTTCCCCACTGCCCTGTCCTCCCTGGAACCCCTCCATCCCTCCCTATTTACAAAGACTTTGATTCTATTTTTTGATTTTCTCATATTAATTCCATTCCCTTCTTTCCTTTCCCCTACCCACTTCCCCATCCCCTTTGCCCCTTTTCTTCCTATTGCACATTATCTATTATACCTTTTAGTCCTTATTTACGCTTTCAGTTTCTCACACTAGAGAAACTATTCGGTATTTATACATGTGTGTCCTATTTATTTCACTTAAGAGTATTGCCTCAATGTGCATCCACTTAGCTATAAATGTCTCTAATTTCTCATTTTTGATGGTTGAATAGTATCCCATTTTATTTTAAAAATCCAGTTTCTTTATCCACTCTCCAGTTGATGGGCATTTGGGCTGCTTCCAAGTTTTAGCTATTACAAACTG